AATTCATGATTGGCCTATGTGATGCTACAGTAAACATTCTCTAATTATGATTTAATTAGGCTTAAAAAATTTGTCTCGCAAATTAACTTTCATTTATGTAATTAGTTTTGTAAGTAGTCTATATTTAATACTCTAAATTAGTGTCTAAATACAGAGACTAAAGTTAAGTCCTTGGATCCAAACACCACCTCAGAGAGCTAAAACCAATTATTACACCAATTCAACAAAACACACGCTTGAAATAACATAAGCACACACAAACTACTAAAAACTACCACAGCATTACAAGATCACAAAATTATTGAATTCTATTTGTAAATCTCCATCCAACGTTGGTGAACATCTGCATAACCATTAACTCAAATTTACAACATGCAGCTTCCACTAACTTGATTTCTTCATCACACTTTAGTAGTTGAGCCCAAGACTGTAGCAAGTATGTTGCCCTGAAAAGAACCTGCATATAGGATATTGATAGCGATTTGTCAAAACCATATCAATTCTACACAACCATATAGCCCAACATATAGCGGATGCTCCGACAAGAATAAGTTTGCTAGTTTTTTTATCAACCCCACCAGCCAATTCTAAAAAATATGAGATATACTATGAGGAGTATATAAACAACTAGTAAACTGTAGTGCTTTCGAAAGAAATGTTGAATAGTCGCATTTCTTGTGCAAAAACAACATTTCAAAGCCATGTCCAAATACAGCTCCATAGTTATGATTTTCTGCCATAGGTCAAACTACAACTCAGAGCAAAAATGCTGAATTTTTCTCTATTCAATTTTTTGTACTATCTATTTATTCTAGTTGTCACACTGCTGCACAAACCCTTTGTATCCCCGGTTTGCAACCCCTTTTAGTCCCGGGTAGCAAACGGGAGCTACGAATCCGGGACTAAAGATCGCTATCTTTATCTTTAGTCCCGGTTCAAATATCTGGGGCTAAAGATCGATATTTAGTCCCGGTTGGTAACACCAATCAACCGGGACTAAAGATGATAGCGCCACATGGCTGGCTCTACCATTTTTAGTCCCGGTTGGTGTTGGTGTTACTAACCGGCAATAAAGCTTTTTTCTTTTTTTCATTGTTTTTTGCTGTTTGCATATTGATTTCTAACCAAACTCAACAATAAAATCATCCACATTCACATAAACATCACAAAATCAGCCACATCCACATGCACAATTCACATCACACAATATACATGATCCAAAGACATCACAAGCCAACGAATTCACAGATAAATCAACAACTAAATCAACCGGCTCCTTGCGCCACTCTCTCCACCGCCGCTCGCTGCGTGGGGCCGCCGCTGCCACCCCCGCGCCAAGCACCGCCCCCTGCTAAGGCCGCGGTGCCTTGCTCCTCGCCGCTGCTGCAAGGAAAAGAAACGATAAGAGAGAATAGCTAGAAAGAGAAAATATAAAAGGAGAGGATAAGAGAGGAGGAAATGGAGGAGGAAGTTAAAATATGAGGAGAAAGAGTTTGCGATCGAGAAAGAGAGGATAAGTGCGAGGAATTGTATACTATGCAATGAATTTTAGTCCTAGTTGGTATAGTAGGGGGTCAGACGAAACACTTCCAGGTGTATTGTGATGCACCCCGCCAAGCATTGGGGTGTGTGCTGATGCAAGATGGCAGAGTGGTTGCTTATGCTTCATGGCAGTTGCGTCCTCATGAAGGGAACTACCCGACCCATGATTTGGAATTGGCCGCAGAGGTCCATGCTTTAAATATCTGGCGGCACTACCTCATTGGCAACCATTGTGAGGTATATACAGATTACAAAAGACTAAAGTACATCTTCACCCAACCTGATTTGAATCTCCGACAGCGAAGATTGTTGGAGTTAATCAAAGATTATGATATGGAAATACACTACCATCCCGGCAAGGCTAATGTGGTGGCAGATGCCTTGAGCAGAAAGAGTTACTGCAATGTCGCATAGGTAGAAAAACTATGTCACGAGGTCCAATGTGACTTGGAACACCTGAACCTTGGTATAGTTGAGCACGGATTCATGGTTGCTCTGGAGGCACAACCCACACTGGTGGAGTAGGTTCACATAGCTCAAGCAAGCGATCCTGAGATAGCATAACTCAAAAAGAATATGAGGATTGGAAAAGCCTGAGGTTTTACTGAAGATGAACACGGAACAATCTGGATGGGCAAAAGATTGTGTGTACCTGAAAACAAGGAATTAAAAGACCTAATACTCACCGAAGCTCATCAAACTCAATATTCAATTCATCCCTGCAATACCAAGATGTACCAAGATCTCAAAGAAAAATTCTAGTGGGTCAACATGAGAAGGGAAATAGCTGAATTCGTTGCACTCTGTGACATCTGCCAGCGAGTAAAGTCAGAGCATCAAAGGCTAGCTAGATTTCTACAACCACTTCAGATTCCAGAATAGAAGTAGGAAGAAATTGTAATGAATTTCATCATCGACTTTCCTAGGACGTCATCTGGGCACGATTCTATTTGGGTGGTCGTTGATCGACTCACCAATGTTGCCTACTTCATTCTGGTGCACACTACCTACTCGGGGAAGAAGTTAGCAGAACTTTACAAGGCAAGGATCATGTGTCTACATGGGGTGCCTAAGAAGATCGTGTCCGATCGAGGGAGCCAGTTCACCTCAAAGTTTTGGTAGAAATTGCAAGAGGAATTGGGAACACGATTGAACTTTAGTACTGCCTATCATCCACAAACCGACGGTCAGACCGAGCGAGTCAATCAGATATTGGAGGATTGTGCGCTTGACTTTGGAGGAGCCTAGGATAAAAGCTTGCTATATGCCGAGTTCTCCTACAACAACAGTTACCAGGGCAGTATGCAGATGGCACCATTTGAAGCATTGTACGGGCGGAAGTGTCATACTCCGCTCTTTTAGGATCAAACGGGGGAACGCCAACTGTTTGGGACAGAAGTTTTAAATGAGGCAGAGGAGAAAGTAAGAATTGTCAGGGAAAGATTGAGAATTGCGCAGTCTCGACAGAAAAGCTACGCAGGCAACCGCCGAAGGGAGCTTAATTTTGAAGCAGGGGACTATCTGTACCTGCGTGTCACTCCACTCAGGGGAGTACACCGCGTCCAAACTAAAGGAAAGTTAGCATCACGCTTTGTGGGGCCATACAAGATCTTGGAATGCAGAGGTGAAGTTGCTTACCAGCTTGAGCTTCCCACCAACATGCTTGGCATCCATAATGTGTTCCACGTCTCTCAGTTGAAGAAATGTTTGAGAATTCCTAAGGGGCAGGCAAGTTCAGACCACATCAAAATCCAAGAAGACTTGACGTATGTGGAGAAGCCGACTCGTATCCTCGAAACCAGTGAGAGAAGGACAAGGAACAAGGTAATCAGGTTTTGCAAAGTTCAATGGAGCCACCACTGAGAGGAAGAGGCCACTTGGGAAAGAGAAGATGAGTTGAAGACCGCCCATCCGAACCTCTTCGCTAGCTCTTCCGAATCTCGGGGTTGAGATTCCGTTTAAGGGGGTAGGTTTGTCACGCCCTGAAGTTCCCCTTTCTAGCTTTAAATTTTGTTTAATAAATCGTCTGAAGAAATCGTTTAATTTAACCTAGAGATAATCGTTTAATTAATATTTGGAAATGGCATTCTGGGATTTTTCTTGGGTTCCACATGTCGCAATACATTAATAGAATTTTTAGTGGAATTTTCAGAGCATTGGAAATAATTTTAACCAATTAAAATCAATAAACCGCAATATACATGCTTACAAGTACATAGCACCGCTAATTTTCTTACGCGTACCTAATATTATAAAAATGAATTAAAATCTCAAAGAGACTAGGCCAATGGTTAAAAGTCAAAAAAGAAAAAGAAATAAAAGGTTCCAAATAGGTCCTAAAGAACAATTCCAAATGCTAAATATATGTTAAAAAATCAAAATTCCAAAACCTAAGCAATCAGCCTGAAAAAAAAGTATGCAATCGTTAGATTTTAGAAACATTAATTAATTGGCTTGCCAACTTGGTGAGTAGGTTAGAATGAAATTAGCTAAGATGAAATCTGATCAATAATTGACCATTTTGGCAGGTAACAGCAGACAAAATTTCACTCAATGCTAGTTTTGAGTAGGGACTCCAGTTGGCCATCGCACGCGGCAATGCAACTTTTTTACTAGCCAAAGCCCAAAGCAATTCACTGGTGTCACAACTCACAAGGTCTAACATACTGGTGTCACTTGCTATAAAATTTGGGGAGAAACGTGGTGTCACTAAACAGGCCCTTAGTTGTTGGTTTTGCTCTGTGTAGGTGTACTCGTCTACTTTGGAGTTCTTTATAGAATTTTTTACGGGGTTATTTAAGTTTTAGTAACGTTGGGGTTTATCCAAACGTAATTTTGTTTGTCTACGCTTGGCTGGATTCACTAATGCAGAGGCCGAAAAGTTACGTCTGTCATCTTATTTTGTAGGGCAGACAGTGTTTTTTTCCCGTCTCCTTTTTTTTTTTTCGTTTCATTTTGTCCGTTCATGACTGTGAACTAAGAAGTAGAAACCAGAGGTTGTAAAACACTTTCTTATTATCCTCTTTACAGTTGCTAAGCTCCATTTCTTGTTTTTCTGTTTGTCCACCGGTCCCCAGCTAACTATAAACTAGATTAGATTGATCATTACTTGTACAAATGCAACCGGCAAGGCACATAGTTTGAAACCATACATGATTAGGTACCTAACGCACACAAAATTTACTGCTCAGAGCTACCTAATTGTACTTAGTTCTTTACTCAGATGTGCAACCTTTTTACGGTCACATGCGTGATTTTGTCAGTGCCCCAAACTTTTTTGCTGTTCCTTTGGCTTCTTGTTGAAAGTGGATATGATCGATGAAGCTGTAAGCCCTGTACTACATGTTGGTTATACTCGATATTACATATGGACAGTGCATCATCAGTGCTAACTAGCTTGCACTATATGTGCTCGCAGCTCGCACTATGTCAGTAGCTCACTCCTAGTTTCAAAGTAGCTTGCTTTGCTCTCTAGCTCACTCAAAAATTAGTATTCCACACAGCTCGAAATTAACTTTTGCAACAATGGCACGAGGGCCCTTGGATCTGTGGAATGCATGGGGAACGCAGATCCTGGTGCTCTTGAGTCTCACGCTGCAGATCCTGCTCCTCCTGTTCGCAGGGATCCGCCGGCGCAAGTCATCCGCGGTGGTGGCGGTGCTGAGGTTCATCCTCTGGCTGGCCTACCAGCTGGCCGACTCGACCGCGATCTATACTGTTGGCCACCTCTCCCTTAGCAGCGCGCCACGCGAGCACAAGCTGGTGGCATTCTGGGCGCCGTTCCTGCTGCTCCACTTAGGGGGCCCAGACAATATCACCGCCTACTCCCTCGAGGACAACAAGCTGTGGAAGCGCCACCTCGTGACTCTGGTGGTGCAGGTCCTTGGAGCCGAGTATGTCCTCTATAAGAATATTTTGGAAAGTGGTGGCTCGATTGTGGTCGCCTCTATTCTCATGTTCATTGTTGGCACTGCAAAGTATGGTGAGAGAACATGGGCGCTTTACAGGGCCAACTTCAGTAGTATTCAGGCTGCGCTCAAGAAGCTCCCCCGTACTCAACTGAGAGGGTACCAAGGCTACCTATGGGAGGAGGATGGGCACATTGGTACAGGCAGCGAAGAGTTCCTCCTACAGCGTGCCCACTCCCTTTTCCATATCTGTGAGCGTGGGATTGTCGACTCCGTGATTGATGTAGACAAAACCGAAACCGAGAGCAAAAAAGTAATCAATCGGCTCCAGAAGAGCAAGCCCGAGTGGATGTGGAGGGTGATGGAGATGGAGCTGTCGCTGATGTATGACACCCTCTACACTAAGGCAAGAGTGATACACTCAATGTTTGGGTACTTGGTGCGAACTGCCTCCCCGTTAGCCGTCGTCGCTTCCTTCCTGTTGTTCCATTTCAGTGGGAAGCGTGGTCACAGCAGAGTCGACATCACCATCACCTACACCCTACTTGCTGGTGCCCTGCTCATTGAGACTGCATCTACACTGAACGCAGTGGGATCGAGCTGGGCACTCTCCTACCTGTGCAAAACAGAGTGGAGCTGGCTCCGGCACGCAGCCCTATGCGCCAGAAGATGGCACCGGCTGCGGCGTGCAGTGGTGACTGTTCGCCAGTTTATCAAAACCATGACGGGAGGATCATCAAGCCTCTACGGAAGATCAAGGAGGTCGTCAGGGAACATAGGTCAGTACAACCTGCTCTACGTCCGCAGCAGCCTGGAGATGGACAAGACGGACAGAAAGCTCAACCGCTTCGCCACGAAGCTGAGTTTCGGTGACCGGTGGGACAATACTTACTACTCATGGACCATCAAGATCCCAGACAAGGTGAGGGATCGTGTTGTGAGTATGCTCTCTCGGCATGATCTCAACACTATGGGCATGCTCAGGCATAAATGGGGCGAGATAGGACTAAACGATCTGAAGTATCCTGGGTTGTTCAAAGAGCTCGATCATTTCGATGACAACAATAGCTGGCATGGCGTAGAATTCCACGAGAGCATCATATCCTGGCACATCGCCACTGAGCTTGTCCTTTTTAAACTCAATGCCAACTATGAGGATGAGCATGTGGGCCCAATCAGAGCTCTTTCCAACTACCTCATGTATCTTCTCGTCACCCGCCCTGACATGCTGCCTGGCCTTCCCCAAAACTGGTTGTACGAAATGACCTGCGAAAACCTCGACGACATATGCCATGGCCAGCTTGATCCTTCAGACAAGAGTGGTGTCAGCGCGGTGCTCAAGAAGCTGATTGGACGACATGGTGGCACCAGACCATATAAGCTAGACCAGACAAACCAGCTCGCAGACATCATATTACACTGGGAGAGTCGGGGTCACCAGCCTGAAATTCCTCGCCTCAAGTATGCACGCGAAATCGCTAAAATAGTATTGGAGCGTGAGGAAGATAAAAAGGATATTTTGTTCGACCTTTGGACAGATTTTCTTATCTACGCTGCCAACCGATGCAACAGGGAATCGCATGCTAGGAATCTGAACACTGGCGGTGAGTTCACCACCGTTGTGTGGCTAATGATAGAACACATTTACCAAACAAAGTAATAAAACTAGAGAGTCAATGTAAAAGTTGGAGACATGGATATTGTTGACCAATGTATATGGGCATGTTTATTACTTATATGAAGGTGGTAATTTCCTTAATATTAATATTCTTGTATATATATATGAATAATGGTGTACGTGCTAGGTCATTTACGTTCCTTGTGAAGGATCTTGACAACCATTTGAAGAAGAAAATACCGTAGATAAAAATATTGATAATAGAATCTTATGCACCTAGGTCTTGTTTGCATGTTGTATCTGTTGAGGGGTGCCAATTAGATGATGGATGGTTTTATAAATCAGAGTAATATTAACCCTACATCCTCTTTGGTAAAATATCACATGACAAGTGTTCACACATGTGAGATCAGACAAGGTGACATGTAGCAGTTGTTAGGATGCATGCACGCTGTTTACTTCTATAGGATCTAAGCATAATCAGGTATTATTTTTACAATCTGATTACACAATTAAATCTTTAAAACAACATATCATACAATTATATCTCAATGAAAACAATATGTACGTTGTAAATTAATTTTATCAAAATATGTATGCCAACACTATATCTGTAAGAGCATGAGGTGTTGTTTTATGTCACGTGCGGAAAATAGAACACTATATTTCGTTTGTGAGTGTATAGTTCCTTGACCCAAGAGGAAAGGTACACATTACAAAATTGGTAAATAACATAGTATATAAGCGAAAGTGTAAATAGAGTACTTTATTGTATGAGCGATCAAAGGCACAACACTGACGGAAACTACATCGGGCCACCACAGGCGGAGGCGGTTGATGGCAGGCACGAGCTAGTCATCAAAGCCATCGTCTCCAGAGTACTCCTTTGCTTGAAGGGGGAAAAGAAGCAAGGCTGGGTACAACTACCGTACTCAACAAGCCATGCCGGGTAAATGCAAATATAATGCAAGGGAGTACAAAGAATTAATTTATAAGGCTATTTTGCAGAAAACTAGCATTGCAAAGCATTTAACTATTTAGAGGCATTTAAATAAACAGGAACCTATCTCTAGGTCAAATTATTATCAAGCTACGCACCAACGTGATATTGCCTTAACCTGGGCTAACAAGTGATAACTCCAGTTATTCCAGTTTTAACAGAATTAAACTCTAACTTGAGTATATTGTTCGGCTTGCCATAATCGAGGGCGCGGCTATTCGAATATATTATACTATAATCGGATGTGTACAGCGTTACCCACCAGACACATCTCCCTCATGTCTTGCCACGTGCCACATGTCACCCGGCATACGGACAAAAGCCATGACATAACCCATTGCTTAGTACGTGTTGACAGAAAACATGTGGCCTAGGAGATCTGCTTAACTCCAGTGCAGGTCCAAAGCTCGCCTTCGGATGTATTAGCGTGCCAGTTGATTTGATCCTGTAATCAACAAGAAATAGAAGCAAAGAAACCGTGGTTAAATCTATAAATGATAGCCGATTGGCTAGATGCCGATGACATATCATTTATCTTTGGGCCGATGTCATCTGTGTATCGATCGGCAGTCATGAATAAGTAAAGAAGAACTAAATCTACTCGATCGGCTGTAGATACTAACGATATATACTCCTTATATAGATGTATACTTAAATCAAGTGACTGGGATAGATCGGTCATTATGTTGAGACAGTATAAATCACTTAGATTGAAATATATATCGATAACAGGACTATATATGTTTATAGCATAGCCGATTAAATAGATCTAGTGTGTATCGGCTAATACTTCGATACTACTCTATATCAGGATATTAAAGTAGAATAATATATCAAACAAAAGCCTAACATATTTAGACACAGCAATATCTTGATATAAAGGGCAGATTTAGCATATCAATGAGACATATAGAATAAAAATGGCTAAATCAGATACGACCGGCTGAAACTCCGATACTATTCTAATCGGCAACTAGAAGGCAGGCTAGAGATCGATATTCTAAACACGACTTAATAGATCAAACTCAACTGATGCAACATTAAGTATGAACAGAAGAACGATATCTAGACAATCAAGCCGCTAGAAGTTCCAAAGAATGGTAGATATCTTATATAATCTAGATCAACGTCAAGATCTAACCTAATCGGCTGCCTTCTGCATACAGATATTGGCCGATAGTAGATTAGATGGCGATATTGCTAGAGATTATGTAAGATATATGATAACTTGATGAATTACATAAACAAGATTAGAGTGTCATGAAGATGGAAGCACTAATCCTAAGAACGCAATCCATCATAACAAATTTTACCTCTTGTTGAAGATCGAAATCGATGCAGCTCAACCCGAAAGCAAGAACTCGTCGAAACAAAACTAAAGCAAAAAGGGTGGCGATGCGCCGAGATTGTATTGAACGTGTGTGTTAAAAAAATACATAGGGCTCGGGGTCTATTTATACCCGAGAATTACAAGATATGTCCATACCGGACACGACCATTATCTCTAACAAACTCTAAGATACTATAAGTCTTTGCGGCAGACTTTTGCCCACATTTATCTATAAGGAATTTACATAAGATATCCTAATTAATAGATATAATTGCCTTCCCAAGACTCTATCCGTGCGTGGCAATCATCTTGAAATACATTAACTTGAACCCGATGTCGCGTACAAGTTATATTGTCGGAATCGGCTATATCGGCTTATTTAGCCCGACTCAGATCCAGCCGATCCTAACCGTAGTCGATCTGGATTCCAGCCGATTCCTGCTCTGCTTCTGAACTCGATCTCCGCCTCCGACTCCGCTTTGATCAAATCCTCCTTCCTGACACAGATGTTACCAAATTTAGTTGTTAATAGTACCGCCCTAAACAAAGAAGATTGGCATAGACTAGCTTCCCCCGCCAGGTGCCCTGGGTCGAGCGGACAGTCTATACCCCCTGGCGTAGACCCTGGATCAAGCGGACAATCTATGCCCCCAGGTGTATCTGCCAGAAACGTCGATCCCACCAAGGGCTTCATCCATCCCTATCCGTGTCTTCCTTGTTCATGACTGTCCTAGACGATGTTAAGTCTTACCCATTAGATAGGTGGTTGTACGGAATATGCTTTACAAAATAGCCCTGTAGATTAGTCCTTATGATGGCCGAGGTGTGACTCACGAAACGATGGACCCTGGGCCCAGCCGAAAATATGTTTGGGGAATTTTGAAGGGGGCTAAATAACCGCCAAACGATATTTACTATTATTTACAAGTTATTCCCAAAGTCTAATTATTTGAAAAACAACTAAAGTTTCTAATTTAAGCAAGGCTAAGCACATTCCTAAATTTACTAGTAAGTACCACATATATAAAGTTCTCACAAGTTTTATTTTTCCCTAGAGTTATAAAGGATAATAATAATAAAAATAATAAGGCTATATCATGGAGAATTGGTAAGCTAAATAAAACAATGATAAGCGCGGGAATTCAATAAAGTGAAATGCAATAATTTAAATACATATAATTTTATGAATTAGGACAACAATATGTTCAAAATGACATGATTACCTTGCTCCAAAATCTTCGACATCAACCTCGAGGTACGTGTAGCGGCTTTTTGGGATCTGCAACGTATACATGAGATACGCAAAGAAAAATGACCAAATGATAAATATAAACCATATCTCTCTATTATAAAAATTGAAGATGTTTTTACCGGTACTTCGGAACATCATCTGTATTTGAGTCGGTTTTAAGTTCATTCGCTTTGAAAATATAAATCCGTATTTGAGTCGGTTTTTATGTTCGTTTACTTTAAGAAGTACAGAAAGAGTTGTATAAGAAATCTCTTTAAACAAACTCGCATGCTAACTTGAGACGATCATACTCCTAATTACACTTATCATTTTGTTAGAAAAATATCTAAATGAATTACCACAGTGAATTTCACCTTAGCTAAATTGTACAACAATAATAAGATTAAAATAACATTCACCCGTTGCAACGCACGGTCATTTTTTTTCTAGTAAGATAAAAAAGAAAGCACATAAATGGGTTTTACACTTTAAGGAAAAATTGACAATTTGAACAGGTCGATTCCGAGTTGAAACGGTCAAGATACGACCGTTTGAATTTTAAGTATTGTTTGAATGACATTTTGTGGTGATTTATTTTTCAAAAGAGTGAGGGGGTGTGAACCGATGCATAGCAGCCGGTGCCCGGCCGGCCGAGCGGAGCAGTGGCGCGCAGCGTCGAAGAGGCGAGGACGGCAGTGAGGCTCACTAGAGAGACCGGAACGGCGAGGAAACGGCGCCGGCGACGAGGAAGAAGGTGAGGGCGGTTCGGGTTGTTGTTGGGGACGGAGCTCCGGTGCTTGCCGAGCTCGATGAAGGTTGTCACGACCGGAAATCACCCAACAGGCGTTCCTGACGTGCGTGTATTATTCCTTGTCCCAGGAGGCAAGGTACACCAAAAGTTGATACAATTCAGAGTTTAACAAGCGGAAGCGTAAATATAATTATTACACGGGCAACAATGGCCCAGCACACAAAGACAACGAAAAACAGCGGAAGACTAGGGCGACGACCACAGGCGCTTGACGGCAGGCACGAGCTAGACACCGAAGCCTTCATCTTCCAGGAACTCCTCAACTGGGCTTGGGAAAATTAAGCAAGACTGAGTACAACCACCGTACTCAACAAGACACACCCACGAATGCAGAATAAATGCAAGGGAGTACAAGGGAATTATAATATAAGGGGTTAGGGTTGCAGTAAACAGCATTTGAAGACGTTTAGTTGCTCAAAGCTACTTTGTAAACACGATCCTAGAACTAAACCATGTTATTAATCAAGGCCGTGAACCCACACGAACATGCCTTAACCCAAGGCCTACGATGATTCAGACCGAACTGGCAACCCGACCCTGGGTCCCAGCTCGTCCCAAGCCAACCCAGGCCAACCATTCCACATTTTAGTTGTTGAGCAAATTTTAAGAATTATAACACTGACTTGGGTACATTGCTCGGCTTGCCCATAACCGAGGGCGCGGCTATTCGAATAGGTTTTACTCTGATCAGAGGTGTACATCTTTACCCACAAGACACATCTTCCTCACGTGTAACCACGTGCCACATACCACCACGG